GAAACCGTCAAAGGTTCTTTTTTTTCTAATATACAATATATTATACGCTTCAACGGACTTTTATATAAATCCGACCTTTTTGTATGGCACACTTTTACACTCCCAACACCTTGGACAACCAATATCCTCTTACATAGACCAAAATTTGGTTTACAGCTTATCTTACGTATATATGTACTCTATAGTAACACTTTTTTTTTGGATGGAAAACACACGATGTGTTTTGACTCGTAAGGAAAAAAAACGCATAGTATTTTGTAGCCACTTTTTTTGGGGATTGCAAATTCGATGATTATTCTCGACTCATTGGGGCCATTATGAAACATAAGTAGACGCGCACGTGAGCTGGACTCTACCCCCTCGCAAATAGATCCCACGCGTAATTCGATGATTGGCCTCCACCAAACGCCCCACGAGTATATATAATATCTGCAAAAAAAATCAAAACGACCGCCGATCACACTCGAGAGCACCCCGCATGAAAATGTTTGGTAAGACACAAAAGTGGGGTAAACACGGACGGTAGCTCTTTCAGCTGTACGTATATACACGTGCACTCCCCGATGATCGATGGACGTCAAGACAGTAGATTTATTTCGCAGAGTCTGGCTGCTTGATCATCCACCGGTGCTAAAGTCACGCGACCCAATTTATAAAAACGTCGTGGATCAAACACATCGCGCTTTTCATCAACTTTCGGACCCTTCCTCTCCACCCCTAACGTCCACTACAGCCGTATGAGCTCGCGGACAGGGTGATTCAATGGCTCATGGCCGAGTGAAACTTTTACGCTTACCACTCCGCGCGAACAATCGGGAAAAGTATATACACAAGCTGGAGGACGCGTCTCACTTTTCCCCCCAAGTGAGACAAGAAGAATTTAACGTCCGTTCGAAAGCGTCTCTCCTCTGCCTCGGCTCACATCGGCCGGTATGTATGCATAAATACTTTTACGATTGGCTCTATTTAGCGCAGAGTTGGCTCGTTATTATAGCGTCATCATTGGAAAGTGTGCCTGTATACTCACTTTCCACTGATACAAGGAAGCTGTGAATTCATTGAGCAAAAAAACGACGATCGGAAGTTTATGAACCCTGTACCTTATTTTGCAACAAATGTAAAAAAAAAAAAAAAAAAAAAGAAAGCACTTATCCCGCGTTACTTAATAAATTAATAGTGAATACGTTTTCGTGTGGTCTATATAAGCTTTCAAGTTTTTTAAATACACATTCAAAGTAGTTTTCGTTTTTTATGTTTTTTAAACTCGCGTATGTCGTTTTCGTAGTAAATTTATTCAAAATCAATCGTCAAATGTACGAATACACGTGAACAATATATTGTCAACTTGAAATTATTACGATCAAACTGCTTCGAATGGTTAAACGATCCTTTGTTTAGCGGAAATTGGAAAAAAAAAGCGTACAATCCAAAGTCGTGCGTCATCGCTAATAAAAGCTCGTATGTAAACTAAAAAGACGATGCAACGGCAATATGTATTGTACATGTATATGTGAACCCCATTAAAATTCAATAAAGGGGAAACATCGGCACCCGCAGCTTTGAAAGGGAACATGACACTCTGTGCATCCCCGACGTGAGTTCTCGTATACCATCGATGAGAAGCAAAAAATAACTTTCAGTCCGGTAAATCGTCATCGCGTCGACTCTTCCCTTTTCCCTTATTCTTTTTCGATCAAAAGTGAAATAGACCATGTGTAACGCGTGAACTGTCGATAGGCCGGCGCGTTTATGATCGATTTCTATTACCCTCAATGTGGGTATATAAATATAGGCGTGCGTATTTCTCTCGAAAGGGAGGGTCTTTGTGCGTTACGTATACGTATACATATTTATACAGAGAAGAGATAAAAGAGTAAGAGAAAGGGACTTTTTTTTTTCTCCCCCATTTTCCGCCCTCCTGAAATAGCTTTTTTTTTCCTTAGACTTTGACTCCCGTTTTTTTCCTCCTCTGGGCTTATTCCTCGGCGTATACATGTATATACTGTGCGTGACAAACGGCCGGGTTATCTCTGGCATCTTGGAAACTTCGGGGCTGAAGAATTTTTTTTCAGAACTTTCGGCCCTAATGAATTATTGCAAAGTCGAGGGCAAAGTTTTTTGTTTCCCTCTTCCCTCCAACCATGGAGACAATTTACAAGGGTACAATATGTACTCGCGGTTCGAGTTGAATTTTACCATCGTATCACAAATGACCGATTTTTCCTATAACTCTCCTTCCTTACCGATACTTAGTATATTATGATTTAATGATAAATCGGCAATGCCTTTGATCCCCCGATTTTTGATCATCGATCCAATCGGAGATTCGTTGCTTCGAAATAGACACAGGAACCGCTCAAAGTTTCCGCAGACAAAACAACTCTGTATACGTGAACACCGATTACCTTTGGCTAGTCCATCATCCCGACGACTCATTTCCCCGATACTACAATCGTCTCCTTATCGAGTTGCAAAGCGTTTTATTCACATCCTTGAACTTTCGTCGCTAAGCCGTACGGAAAGTTTCCCCTTCTCGTGGAATCCAGGGGGTTTCATGGAATTTCGACAAGTTGAAGCTTTTTTCTCGAAACTGATGTTACCCCTTGATGCACACAGCATCACATGACTTATCCTCGGTAAAACAACCCTTGATCAAAAAGCACAAGCTGTTATCCTGGCTCTCGCAAGTTAGCGATTGAAAGTTTGCGTGTTTCAAGCGATTGAAATCGCGATCGAAAGCTTAAAGCGGACGTGCCATTGTTATATGATGAAGGATACAGGGACGCGATTTTTTAACGCACGGTTATCCTAGAGCTTCGTTTGCTACGTACCTCTCCCTCTCTATATGCATGGAGAGCAGACGTAGAGCCCCCTCGGGAACTAATACCGCATCGATCGAACTTTTAATCACGTCCGAGTGGGGGAGGGATAAAATTTCGTTAGCTGCTCGAGTGGCCCTTACCCCGCCTCCGCTCCGTGGACGAAAAAGCCTTTTTGCATTTGCCATCAGGAAAAAGTGCCGATTTAGGCTTATTATTGGTTGGGTTCCTGCCGCAAAGGAAAGACCCATCAAGGGGCATTTTTGTGTGAAAAATCCATCTCGAAAAAGACACCACAGCTGTTTTTTAGCTCGCGCGAGTGCGAAAAACATTATCCTCCCCTGGCAGCTATAGAACCACTTCTCCCGGTGGGGGAATAGACAACCACTTCGAATAAAAAGCAAGAAGGAAAAAACGGCGGTGTACGTGTATACGCCAGTGTCCTTCGAGCCAGAGACATCTGGCTGAGGGTGTAGCAGTGATGGCCATTGGATTTAGCCGTTGTCGACGACAATGGTGGCAGACCGTCCCAGTCGAAGGTGGTGTAGCTCTTCTTGATGACATTTTTCCATTTGGTCCTTCGGTATAGGCTTCCAAAGACTGGACTGGCGAACGATGACCGACGACTTTTCGTCCCGTACGGTAGTACATAGTGTCACACACAGGAGCTGGGGATTTGCCATTTCCCCGCAAAAAGTTTAATCGTTAGAGTTGTGCGTTTACCTACGAGTGGACGCTGTTCAAGTTATTACATCAAAGTGAAACTAGTTCCACTTCGGAATTCACAAGCAGAGCAGCTAGTTATACACGTTGTGAACAGTATATAAGAAATCCATCCCGGGCCAATCTGGACTTTATCGGGAATCCTCGAAAGACCCGAAAACCAGCCACACGCTAGCCGATGCAAGGACGTGCCTTTGTTTCAAAATCGTAATTTCGTCCCATTGTGGCGGAAAATGGGTTTCACTCTCGGCTCGTGGGCCACCTGCGCCTAAATTGATCGGACGCGCGGGACACAAAAGACTCGACTGGCAATTTCACTCGGGCGTACGGACACAATGACGGATGTGTGCCGGGGAGAGCGCGTGTGTGGCTGGAATATACACGCGGGGATTAGCATTGGGGAATGTGTATTGGATATATATATATATGTACGTATATGTACACGGCGAGCCAGAGAGGGAAAAAAAGTTGGATTTTCTTTTGATGGAGTTTCTCGAGGAGATTAATGTTGATCTTTGCCCCTCCGACTCCGATGAGCGCCGGGTGGACGTTCCTGTTCCGTAAACGCCACGAGTCAATGTACATATAATTTTTGCCCCAACGAATTTTTAGTGCTGGTTGATGACGTTAACCAAACACTGAGAAAAAAAAAATAATGAAATTTATAGAGAAATTCCAGCAAAAATTACCATTACGCACGGTAAATCGAACGCAAGTTGGAAAAAAAGGAAAAAGGTTATTTTTTTTAACTGTAAAGATTATTGTGTTAACAGTAAAAATTATAATGCTGGAACAGTAAACCTTCAAAGAATCGGTTAATACATTTTTCTTTTTTTCAGTTAAAAAATTTTTACTGTTTTGTTAAAAATAATAATTTTTTCCTTTTTTGCCAGCTTGGGTTTGATTAACTGAGCGAAATGGTAATTTTTACTGGAATTTCTCTATAATTTTCATTATTTTTTTTTTCTCTTAGTTTACTATTTCTAATAATTTTATAGAATTTTTAAGTATCGTAAGAGGTCCAACAATAACCATCAGTGGTTCGTTGAACGAGTGGAAATATCGCACAACTCGTTACCCCAACTCTCGATACGCGTTAAAGTTGCATGTTTATGAGAGAAAAAATTCCCATCACGAATTATCATAAAGGTATACATGTAGACCGTCCAAGTTGATTCACTGGTTCCTAAAATAACTTTTCGTCAAAGGGGGTGGGGGACGGGGGTGCCAATGAAAAAGTTTCTAGTAAATAGAAATCGGTCTTTGGAAACTTTTCGATAAAACTCCACACCGCCACTTCCTCCTATCAGAAGTTTCCGTATGGAAAGATGGCACGTACACGACCATGTAATATATACGGAGGAGGGTACAAAACGACCTTCATAATGGAATCCAATAAACTTTTCACTCTCGCTGAGTCTTACGTGTATACATTTTTTTTTTTACCCTTTGTTCCAGGATATCGATTACGAAGGCTTCAAGAAGTTTCTCCATACTTACCTCGAGTGCACGACGCCCGACGAACTTTCCCGGCACCTCTACCTCTCGTTCATCAAGAAGGGCACCCGCGGCACTGGTTTTTTGCAGGTGCGTGTTACAACAACCCGGTACTATACTCCTCTTTGACTGTCCTCAGTAGGCTCTTTTAAAACTTTTTTTTTTTTTCAATGGAGCAGGGTCACAAAAATAAAAATGTGAAAAATTGTCGATTATTCAACACCCTTTTGAATTCGGAACGAGTACTTTTACTGCCACCCGACTTTATTCCATTTTCAAGATCCGTCCCAGTGATTAAAATGTCCTCGGTAAATAAAAAAAAAAAAAAAAACCAGGGCCATTATTTACAATTTCAAGTCTCAAAGATGAGCCGGATTTCCCGCAGCGGATTACGGAGCAGGACAACCTCGATCTCCAGTCTCACTCGGGAAGCTCTTTTTTCCTCCCCTTCCTCCGAGACCCTCCCAATGAAAATCCCCGACGAGCGAAGCAAAGATAACTTGTTACACGCAATTTCGACCGTTTGCCCGTACAGGAGATGGCCGTGCTGTCTTCGACGACCGCCTGCGCCGCCATCACCTCGCACACCACCTCCAACACGAACGTCAACAACACGGGCTTGAGCACGAGCCAGCCGAGCGAGAGCCACGGCTCGAGCCTCGCCGACAAGATCCACGGCATCACCGAGAAGCTCCAGGCCCTCGGTTACCACAGGGCGGACCCCGAGGCCTCCTCGCGCTCGAGATTCGGTACACCTAGTCATCCCTCCGGTTTAACGGGGGGAGGGCTTTTTTTCTTTGGAAAAAAAAGAGCCTCCCGTTGACGTGGTCGTCGCCTGCCGGGAACAAGACTCCGAGGATTCCCGGCAGGCGACGGTGTCGAAAGCGCGTGTTGCGTGTCGTTAACAGGGGGCTTGCATTGCAGGGACTATATATCCAGTGCGGGCGCTGCCGCACACCTCGTACAGCTGCCACGACGTGCTCGAGAGGAAGAGCACCGACACGAGCCCGAGCCACAGTCAGATGTCCCGCAACTCGTCCCGCAAGTCCAACAACTCGCTGCTTGTCAACAACGGCAAGTTGCAAGAAGGTGAGCCTACACACGCATATATACACGCATATATACACCCCAAAGGCAAACGAGGGTGAAAAACGACGCGCACCCTTTTGATGTACCCTCGGCGAGAAAAATTGCCTCCGCTGGATAATACGTATACAGCACAATCTCGGAGTGATCGATGGAGATGGGGGATGGAAAAATAAATGAATACGCTCGGTGAATCTGGCGGAAGTAATCAAAGAGATTTATTTTTTATCCCTCCGATCTCGCCGGGTAGGGAGAACAAAAAAAAACCCAAAGTCGGACGTTTGCGAGGAAAAGTATATGGAGAACAACGGCTGTGCGATTATGTATGCGGGAATGGCTGAAACGAAGAAACAAAAAGGACCGACGGAAAAATCCAGAACGAGGCTCCTTGTGTTTCGGAGAGAATAGAGTGTGTGGATGAAACTTGAAAAAGCGTCCCCGGGGTGTTGGGGCGATAGTTGGCGCGATTGAAACGTAAAAAAAAAAATTATGCGGGATCAGGAGGAATCGGTGTGCTTCGTGGCCTATCTTTCCTAAGGACCCACACACGCCCCTCCATCAATTTTCACGGCACAGGAGACTCCTCTTCCATCCTGCTTTTATCTCGTCGCGCTGTACACACACGCTCCGGCGAGCTTTTCTTATTAGTTTGTGCGTATATATGTATATATCTCCGTGTACGGCAAAAACGCGCGCGTGCAAAAAATGAGAGACCAAGAGGGAACCGAGAGCAGGAAAAGGGATAATATTTACTTTAGCCCTTTATCATCGCGAACGGACTGCTTCCCCCCGTCTCCTCCCGAAAGTCTTTCTCATCGCTCTTTTTTTTTTTTGTTTTTTTTTGTTTTTACCTCATCTCGACCCCAACGTCACCGTCAAGTAGGTACACGCCTTTTTATCCGTCTTCTCAGGTGGCGTAACCGATTCCCCCAACCCCACCCCTTGATCTAGGTGACCTTGAAAATTAAAAACGCCAAATCGGTTGGAATCCGCCCCAAAAATACATTTGGTCCTTGATTCTCCCCCCGAATTTACACTATACGCTCGTAATCCGTCCTACCATCCACGCGTATATCCCAAATCCCGCAGTGATTCGAGGGTCCCCCTCATCTGGCCGTATATATACATACACTTGGGTATAACCACACTGGAATCCATTCCCGAGATTCTTTGCGAATGATATACGCTGCGGTGAATATTCGTCGAGACGAACGGAATTGAATGGGAGTATCTACCTACGTATGTATGTTTATGGGGTTCGAGGGATCGATTTCGGCTAATGCAAAGGCCAGCGGACGACGGGGTATTATGCGGAAGGGTAAATAGACTCTGAGCCCCGGAAGCTATAAATACTTGGTTCGTGATTCTCTCCGCGCGTAAAAGTTTATTTGGATTTCCGCGTTTGCGTGACTCCATTATATTCATGTGTGTACCGATTGATCGACAAATGTTGGCATAGACACTCTTTACTAGATCACGCATGTGGAACAATTCAGTTTCGGCGTTCCATCATGCCGATGCTCACACAATTGAAATCGAATTTTTTTTTTCCCCCACACGTGACTTATTTTTTTATTGTTACTATCATAGGCATACGAGTGATCGTTGGATTCAGGCTGCAATCAGATGCTTGTCCCTCGCGTACACCAACGATCCGAACCGATTGATATCCACTGAATCGTACACGCGGAGAACGGATTGATCCGAGTGACTGCCATGGAAAGTTGCCGAGAAAAACGGCAGAGGGGAAAACAAATCGAGTCGCAACCGAATCAACATTCGTTCAGTACAAATGGTTTGACCGAGAATTTCGTTGTGTTGAGAAAATTCTTAGTATAATATATTTATGTACGAGCCACGACTCGGAACATTATTTCCAGCGTATTTGGCAATAAACCGTAAAGGAATTGCAGTGGACGTGTGACGCAAATACCCGTGTGTACGAAATTCGTCGATGTCAAAGTAAACTTTGTTTGTAAATATATTGCAACGGCGCGAAAATATATCGTGATCCCTGGGTATGGTCATTTGCTGACGGAAGCGCCGCGAATTGGAAAACTGATGGATCGACGTTTCGCGTATTTTGGGATATATGATAAAACATATGTATAGGGTGACGGACGTGTGTACGCTTTGTATGTAAACCGCGTTTGTGCTTACACTGGGATCTGGAATAAAATAAAACGTACGTCCACGTGTTTGTAAGTGTTTAACGATGCCCAACAGGTGCGCGTCGGTTGCAAAAGCAACGTCAGCTTTTACTTTAGTTTTTTTGCGTGTAAAACGCGCGTGGGTGTTTTATGAAGTCGGGCGTTACTGACGCGCTTTGTGCGTTATTTATATCCTCGTTACGATCGCGCGTGAGTGTTCCCTCTGAGATCCGTTTCGAGGTAATTAGCTCGTGAATTTATTGCACTGCAAGCACGTGCATCATGAGTTTCGTACTTGTTGATCTCTATTCAGTCTACCCTTGAATGCCATTGTCATTTTAATCTGATATTTATTTTGGGTGCACCTTTAATAAAAGCTTCGACAAAATGCATAAGCGAATAATAATAACATCCACTGCGGGGCATGGATACTTTTTTGTTCAGATTACTCTTGTCTGCCGTGAGAAAAAATTTGTTCACAACATTGAATTATACATAGTGATGGATAAAAAAACTTTTTCAGTAAAGAAAACGTAAAAAATTTCTTTCCATAGTACAATTGTGCTCAAGTCCAGATGCACCTGCTCATCAACGATTTGACTTGATTTAAAATTTCCAGAAAATTATTTTTCTGCGAGTACGGGAAAGTTAAAAAAAAAAAAAAAAAAAAACCATACTATTATAGTACACTTTCCATTGCACGACGAGCAATCGGACATATTCATGATTGATTACATCATTTCCGACCATTTGTGTAAGCTGAATTGTTTAGTACACAAAAGGAGGAAGTGAGCACTTGCCAATGCAGAGTAAGTATACATACTTATGTTAATGGAAGAAAGTGCACGTCGTGCTACAGTCACGGTCGCTTGTCACACTAAAACTGAGACATCCGCGTCTGGGATGGTACATATTATATTCTTGTGCTAACTTTCACGGAACATTTTAACTCTTGGTTTTACCAAATAATTGTGTACAGCCATAATTTAATACTTTTCACGTAAGAGGATGTATTTATTATTTCAGTTTTCAAGTGATAATTGAAATTATATCAACAAACTTTAACCATCACGGTACTGTTAAGAATTCGTTTACTTGAAACGTCAGTAAATATATATAAACGTCATTGATAGAAGGTGTAATAATCCCTGCTCTATATTCTTAATCGATATGAAGTAGAAAAAAAAAAAATCGATTGATTTGGTACAAATGAATTCTCAAGCAGGAAGCTCAACCTGTATCGTTCAAAAGCCAATATCCTCTCGTTTCCTGGCCCGAAAGCTCCCCGACAAGAATCAACTTCGCTGTACAGACTCTCCTCTTCGTGCGAGCCCATCCACGGTACACCACTTGTATGAAATACGGTGTACACTTGGTCGCATTCGTTGCACAACGGGCCGGAAAAATAGAACCCGAGTTACGTCACACGAGCGTCGAGAGCTGCTGTTGTACGTGTATATACATACATCACGAGCGAGACGATCGACGCACGACTCGGAAGCCGCTACGCGAGCGGCAACAAGTGTTTCCGGCCACCTCTTCTCTACGCGTAGGCATAAACGGTTGGTTTTTTTGTTGGTGCGTTAGTTGCTCGACCAACGATGCTGGTGCGTTTCGGGCATATATATAAATATATATATATAATTATATATAGGCAATGGACGATGTGGTTCGAGTAGTGGTTACTGTAAAGGATACAAAAAAAGTAGAGCTCTGCGTTAGCGGAGTCAATTGAATGCAGTCCATCTCTCTCTTGTGGCGTGCGATTAAGAAACCAGGGAAACGTGAAAAAAATTGCACGACTCGCTTACGGTGTGCCCCCGCGTCGATCCTTTCCCAACTGGCGCGTATCCGTCAACTTCTAAAAATAAAGCCCGCAGCCGAGCGGTCCACAAAATTCGTGAATCACCGAATCGCGGGAGGGGAAAGAGAAAAAAAAAAAGGAAAAACCTGCTTCATCGTCTACATTTGTGCTTTAAATTGAACACGTATATACTGCTGAAACGATGACTCAGAGGTGATACGCGCATAACGATGCTTGACGAAATTGTTTCTTTTCAACGATCGGATCGCCGGTAGTATAGAATTTAATTACCCGTCGTAGCAAGTGGTGTTACACGGGTGAGTTGAAAAATCGAAAAACAACAACAAACGAATTTTGCAATCGGCACTGCTCATGTGTACGTTTATGTGTACGTACGCCGCGCGCCAGACGTGCGGTTCCGTCGGCGCGCCAGCTCCTGGGGTAGCCGAGACTACGCGGGGCAGTGCCAAAGAAACTGGCGGAGAGAAAAGGTCGCGCGGAGGAGCTGCTCCGATTCGCGAGATCTTACGTAACGGAGTTCGAGGCAGTTTTTTTTTTTTTTTCACTTGCTCGTGTTGTAACGGTATGTATGTTTATGGGGTTCGAGGGATCGATTTCGGCTAATGCAAAAACGATACGAGCTACGGTTGTTTTGCCCTTAAAGTAGGCGGTGCGGTGCCTATCAACCGATTTTTGGCTTTCAGTTGGCCATTTGGTTTCGTCTTTTTCCTGTATACTCGACGAACAATATTGTGCAGTGAGTGCATGTGCATGAAAACGAGAAGGAAAACCTATCGCTCACCGAGGGTGCGAAAAATAATTGATCCGTCTGGTGGGTATGTACGTGTGCATCGCTGCTTCGTATGTGCGCTCGATTTACTTGGAATCGGCATATGTGTGTTCCGGCGTCTGCGCGAAATGTAAAAATACATCGGTCGTTTGTAATTTTAGAACGAGTCTCTCCTGAAGCTTTTGGTCTACCCACCCAGAGCAGAGCTTTTCGCAGCTGTCTCCAAGGCTTTCATTGACAAAAATCGCACCTGGAGCTTTTCGATGTACTCTCTCCGCGAGTTGAAATTTTTATTTATTTATTTATTTTTTTTTTTTCTACTTTCCTGCCATGTTCTCATAAAAAAAAAATTTACTCGAGTCCCTAAAAGAGTTGGGCCGTAGAGTTGAACCCAAACTTGTTTAAATTTATGTGTATTTTATTATACATCTTTTTGGGGAATCGAATGAGTCCACAGTAAAACTGCTTTATTGGCACTGAACCGCGACAAATGATTCTTTTTTTTAAATGATAAAAGTAAAGAATCCGAGTGTTACTTGTCGATCGAAGTCAGCAAAACTTTACCGATCCATCAAAACACAATGCACGTGCATCCGAACTTATATATATATATACGAGCAATATCGGGACAACAGTGTCTGGCGATTCGATGCGCGGCTCACGCGACTTCCTCGAAAATCGGCGCGTGTATATACCTACGTATCGGTTCAACGGGACGCGCCGATCTATTTTCGACAAACTCTACCACCGCTACATACTACATGTATATGATGTATAGTGTACGAGTGCACTCCCGTGTAACTCTGCCAATTCGGTGATAAAGTTTACATTTCGCTCGCGTGAGTTAAGCTTTCGATATTTTCGGGCTCCTTCGTCCAAACACACGCGCGCTCACCCGTCCGCGTTGAAAACAGAAAAATAAAATTACCTTACCGCCTCCCCCTCTTTTTTCTAAAGATCATCTCTACGAACGATGATGATATAATATCCGTAACCGGTGCTTACAGAGATAAGACAGATCGTCAGGAAGCAGAGCACGATAGACGTCCACTCGGTTAAAGTCAGCCTTAAGGACATCGTTTGCTATCTATCACTGCTGGAGGCTGGCACGCCCGAGGACAAATTGGAGTGTAAGCCCGACGAAACCTATACTTTTTGTATTTTTTGTTGATTTTTTTTCTATCTTCACCCCATCGCTCTCTCATATTATTATGATACTTGTTTTTTTCCTTTCCTGGTACAACTTTTCTATTTTTAGCTCGTTTTGCGAGCTCGACCTTACCGATCGGCGTCCACGGCCCGCGGGGGCTAATTTTTACAATGGCACGGAGATCGGGACGAGGAAAAAAATACACCTGATAATAGTCCGGTCAAACGCGTGACTCACCCTTATCGCGTACCGGCTCTCCTCTAAATCTTGTTGTGCCGATTTAATTTATAGATTACGCGTATATATGTGCGCGAGTCACGTTTATCTCGCGACGTAAAACCTGTACCAGTGCGACGATTGCATCATTATTTATTTTATTTTTTTTTATTTTTTTTTTTTTCTTGCAGTTATGTTCCGGCTGTACGACACCGACGGCAATGGAGTCCTCGACACGAACGTAAGTTGCCGATAACTGTATAAGTATAATAACAGCGGAGCATTTTATTACCGATGTAAATGACCGATTGTTTGTCCTATGGCGAGCCAGGAGATGGACTGCATCGTCAACCAAATGATGAACGTGGCCGAGTACCTCGGCTGGGACGTGTCGGAACTAAAACCGGTAAGGAGAGTTGGCTTTGAGATCAGACGCGCGTAAGAGAGCGCAGATTTAACGGTTGTGGTTCGATGCCCCGATTGACAGATCCTCCAGGACATGATGATAGAAATAGACTACGACGCGGACGGTACGGTGTCGCTGCAGGAGTGGAAGCGCGGTGGCCTGACGACCATACCCCTCCTCGTGCTCCTCGGCCTCGACACCAACGTCCGCGAGGACGGCACCCATCTGTGGAGGCTCAAGCACTTCAGCAAGCCCGCCTACTGCAACCTGTGCCTCAACATGCTCGTCGGCCTCGGCAAGAAGGGCCTCTGCTGCGTTCGTATGTATTTTTTCTTCAACCGTCCGAATCAGGGCTGGGTCAGTTGCTTGTTTCCGTATAATCGCAATTTTAAACAGCCCTCGGTGCATTTTTCCTCTTATCGATTCGGAGAGCGAACTTTCTATTACCTGGTTCCAACTTTGAATTACCGATTACAAAAAGTACTGTTTATACCGATAAGGTATAGTAACTTTACCTACAATGGTGAGAAACATTACGATTGGTGAGTCACGGTTTAGGCTGCGGTTCTGGTAGCTTCGGTGGCTTTGGTAACACACGTGTTCACAAGTTCAAGAGCCGGGCTTGAAAACAAAATAAAAAATGGGATGAATGATTTTTTGAGATGTACGTAATTTTAATGTGCTTGAATACAAATGTGTTGTTTGCCGTAGTGTGTAAATACACGGTGCACGAGCGGTGTGTACAACGAGCGCCGGCCTCGTGCATAGCAACCTACGTTAAGAGCAAAAAGACGTCCCAGACGATGGTTCATCACTGGGTGGAGGGCAATTGTCACGGCAAGTGCTCCAAGTGCAGGAAAACTATCAAGAGCTACAACGGCATAACTGGCCTGCACTGCAGATGGTGTCAATTGACGGTAAGGAGGCCTAGTTTCTTTGTTGTATACTTTATCCTGAGTGCCAATCATGTGTGGGCCATTTCGTGAACAATTTCACCTATTTTTGCTTGCGTTTGAAGAAGATCGGAAAATGTTTCTCAATCGGGAGCGTTTAAGACGTTTCATCCAACGCGGGTTAACAAAAAGTCCAAATATTTCCATTTGAGAAACATTCATTCGATAAAATCCCCGATATACCGAGTAAACGCAATGAAACGAAAATCCTCACCTGTGACCCATATGTCCGCTGCAGTTGCACAACAAGTGCGTGTCGCAAGTGAAGGCCGAGTGCACCCTTGGGGAGTACGCGACTCACATACTGCCGCCCACGGCCATCTGCCCCATCGTACTCGATCGGCAGCGATCGTTATCGCGCGACAGCAAACGGGGCAGCAAACACTGCCAGGAATCCTCGATGACTTGCTCGGTAAGTCCACCTCACGGCACTTGTGTACACGTCCCATCCATGCGGGTCCAAGTACACGTTTGAGAGACTATTTTCACAGGGGAGCTACCTGTCGGCGGGCTCGGGTTCCCAGCAGCAGCCGGCTATGTCCTTCCAGATAACACCACCGCCAAATACCGTGCCCCTACTCGTGTTCATCAATCCAAAGTCTGGTGGCAGACAGGGCGAGCGTATGCTCAGGAAGTTCCAGTAAGTTTATATACAATTTTTTACAAGTTTAATGACAATTGTCATGAAAATACAACAATATTGCAGGTTCATCCTGAACCCCAGGCAGGTGCACAATCTCGCCACGGGAGGGCCCATGCAGGGCTTGCAGATGTTCAAGGATGTGGAGAATTTTCGGGTGATCTGTTGCGGGGGCGACGGCACCGTTGGCTGGGTGCTCGAGACCATGGGTACGTCGTTGAATATTTTTTTTATCAACTAAATGAATATTCTTATAGATCGTTTCGATGCAGATCGGGTTCAGTTCGAGCATCAGCCCGCTGTCGCGGTCATACCCCTCGGAACGGGGAACGATCTGGCCCGGTGTTTGCGCTGGGGTGGCGGCTACGAGGGCGAAGCCATCCACAAGCTCCTTAAGGTATGTACACGATGAATACGATACGTTGGAGTGGCGATCGGTAACCGAGTTACCGATCATCGATGGGAGTACCAATGTTGATGCATGTGTCACGCTTTGCAACAGAAAATCGAGAAGGCGACGCCCGTGATGATGGATCGGTGGCAGATAGACGTCGCCAACGAGGAGGAGGCGAAAAAGACGCAGCAAAACACCATACCGTACAACATAATCAACAACTACTTCTCGATAGGCGTCGACGCGGCGATTTGCGTCAAGTTTCACCTCGAGCGCGAAAAGAATCCGGAAAAATTCAACAGCCGCATGAAGAACAAGCTCTGGTACTTTGAGTATGCGACGACCGAGACATTCGCCGCCAGTTGCAAAAACCTCCACGAGGACATCGAAATAATCGTGGGTGTCGCTTTACTCATGTATACACATTCCACTGAATCCCAAGTGCAAATAAAATACGCGTCAAACGATTCGCAGTGCGATGGAGTCCCGCTCGATTTGGCCCACGGTCCGCCACTGCAGGGCGTGGCGTTGCTCAACATTCCCTTCACCCACGGCGGCTCCAACCTGTGGGGCGAGCATCACTCGAAGCACCGGCTGGGCAAGCGAAAAAAACGCCCCGACAAGGAGCTCAGCACCAGCAGCTTCAACTCGATCGACCTCACCGCGGCTATTCAAGGTACGTGGTACATTTTACACCCAATTAATACGTAACCGCGTGTGTATTAAAAATGTAACGAGTGGCTGGTGCAGACATCGGCGACAACCTGATCGAGGTGATCGGTCTGGAGAACTGCCTGCACATGGGCCAAGTGAAAACGGGACTGCGGGCCTCGGGCAAACGACTCGCCCAGTGCAGCAGCGTCCAAATAACAACGACCAAGCGCTTCCCCATGCAGATCGACGGCGAGCCCTGGATGCAAGAGCCCTGCACGGTACGGGTTTTCACGTGTACCTACAAGCGTATACGATTTATTTCTGAATGATCGGTAGTAATAATAATAATAATCGAGGTTTTTTTTATGGCGCGCAGATAAACATCACGCACAAGAATCAGGTGCCAATGCTGATGGCCCCGCCGCCCGAGAAGCGCAAAGGGTTCTTCCGGTTCCTCAAGAGGTGAACTCTCTACTAGCCAAACTACTACCACTACTATATAGGTACAATTACCTATATACGCGCATACACACAGTGTACATAGTATAAGCCGTGGGAAGAATCGAATTGCTTCCCAAAATGATGTATATGTATAGTTTCGCGAGCGCTCGGCTTTATCGGAGATGCAAAAAAAAAAAACGCAAAGCGATTTCGTGTTTTAATTTTAGGCTTGAATGGAATTTTTTTTTTTTTTTTTTTTTTTTTTNTTTTTTTTTTTTTTTTTTTTTTTTTTTTTTTTTTTTTTTACGTATTTATTTTGTGATAACTTTTTCACTGTCTCGAGAGAGAGTAAGCATCGTTGTCCATGTGTATATATGTTTTGAAAGTGATGTGTGTGCGTGTGTATACGAATAAAAGAAAAAGCTAAAAGATATATATCAACTGTGTACAGTATTTTCAAGGATATATATATATGCACCTAGGCATTACAAAAATCTAAATATGTACGTTAGGTCCGTTTACGAGTAAAAACTAACGGGAAGTCTATGAAAATCTCTTATTATGTAGTTCAAAGATATTTGTGTACTTACAGAACGAATAATCATGTTGCGAGTATGGGATACGTGTACAAGAGAGAGAGAGATGCGATGAATGAATCGTTATGCAGTTTTAGTCGAGTTTAACTGTTACGTGGTCCATTGATTTTTTTACCGTTCGTTGAATTACATGTATATTTCTGATGTAAAAAAAAAAAAAAACTCGTACAAGTTTCGTTGGAATACTCGATTAGTTGTTACATCGATCGTTACGTATGTACGTATTGAAATTTTATATAAACTAAAGACTATAGCTAAGCAAGTGCTGTAGGAAAATCACTTCGTAAAAATTGTATTGTTTATGAAAAAAAAAAGGATGATAACGTAGAAGTTTGTATATAAGTGCGAAATTATGAGAATTTGCCGTTAGTTGCGCGGGTAGTAGATTTAAAGGGAAATTTATCTTTTCCTGGGTCAATATAGACATATACCAATAAATGAATAAACAGATAATTTTAAATAGAGCTGTGAAATTTTTCTTAAAATGCACGTTTAAGGATAAACTATATAATGAGAACGCTTGTTCCAAAGTGATGTAATAAGAAGATAGCCAATCAAAAAAAAAGGTGTAAAAGTTATGAAGCATTTCAATTTCGCGTCGATTCTAGTCTTTAGAAAATGTTTTTTTCTTTTTTTTTTTTTTTCTTTTTTTACGGATCTTTATTGAGTATTACTGTACAAATTCTGCGATGTATTGCTATGGTTGTATCGGGGCAAGATATTACACTTAGACACAATATAACGAGTGTATGTACACATGTGCGTACATATCGAACACATTACTAATGTATATATTATATATTAATTTTATAATAATTTTGTACTTTGAGTTAAGACATCATCGTAATGAATATCGCTGTTACACGGTACATCTCGAATGCATTTTATTTATTAATGTACATAATGATTTATAAACACTGATGACACGTTATTTGAGTTAAAAATTATTTCATATTGTAATTTTTGTAAAAACACTGACTTTTTCGAGTTTCAATGTTGATTAAAAAGTTCCAGAGCTGCTTGAATAAATCCAACACCATAGTATGGACCACGACCAAAATTTTCCGTCCTTTTGATATGATAGGAAAAAACTTTTTAGCTCTCGAATCTTCATTTGGTTGATTTTGAAATCTCGTAATTTGGTTTTGATTCGTGAGCACTGGAAGGAAAAAAATTTTAATAAAAAATTTCGTCCCGATAAAGGAAAACATGGTTTATTGTACATAGGCAAGCTTGGAGACAAATATTTTAATTTTTAATACTCCACCACAATATTAATTGTCGCGCACAATGTTTAGCTTGATACTACTGAATCCGATCGGGACCATTTCACGAATAGGAAAAAAATATTGCTCTATTTTTCAATGTCAAATGATTTCGGTATTAAAAATACATTGAAGAAAATAATAGGGGAGATATCTAGATTTACTTCATAAAGTATTAAAAAGCTACATTTTTTGTAATTCATGAATTTCAATGAGAAAAATTGAAAAATTAGGGTAAGTGAAAAAATACGCTTATTCAAAGACATAAATTTGATATAGACGACAACTTTATAATAAAAAAAAAAAAAAATGTCACACTTAGATATCATACTAAAAGAGTACTACTAAAGTAATTAACTAATGCCGAAAGTAAAAATGTTTAGAAAAAATATATGTATATATATATTTTTTGTTCATTAGCCTATACATTACAGTGTAACACACAAGATTGAGTTAAACATAACATGTAAATAAAAAACGTTACTAAGTAAATCGATTTTTAATGATCGATGTGACTCTGTGTGCTTTTTTATTAAAAAAGTATAGTTCCACGTCGAGAAATGAAAAAAAAAAAAAAATATTCTTTTATACGTAACAAATAGGGAGAAAGGCAAATTGAAAACTTTAAATGGCGCTTACAATTAGACACACGTGTTGATATCGAAAACAAGCATATGTAGTACAGTAGTGTCATTCTTGGACGTAGATATATTATATTCGGTGCTTGCAAAAAAAAATTTAAGCGCGTATGTATACCTTAACTCCATAATTGAGCATAACTGCCATTTTTCAAAAGCTTAGACATGCATCCTAACGAAAAAAAAAAAAAAAAAAAAAAAAAAAAAACTGTCCATACTGTAAATTGTAAGTATCTGAGATGCATATCTGTACGTACCTATACCGACTATAATATAACTGTAAACAAAGAGACGAAGGAAAAAAACTATTATACATGTTACAGTTCATAATAAAATTAGTATACTGTACCTACTGAACTTTTTTGACCATCATTATAGAATGAAAGATGAGAGATGCGTTGTTTCGAATTGTAGCAGCTCGCATTTAATGTCAACAAATGTTTATTGTCTTCGTCAAATCCAAATAAAGAAGAAAAAAGTTAGAACTTTCATCGAAAACTGCGTGTCCGTTCACTTGCGTGTCTCACCGAACCCACAACTATTCGAATTATCCCGCCACGATCTAACCTAACTTGAGCTATCCGCAAAAATTTTTTTTGTTGCAAATAATAATCAAAAAGCTTCTCTTCCGACAACGCCGATCGCGGGTTGACGTGTTTTTCTTTTCTTCCATACATCTCTGTTCTTCCGATTGGCAAAAATTATTATTTGTGTCGTGTGGTCTCTGGTGTGGTTTGTTTGGTCACGCCGAACCAAAAGCCCCCAGACCAAACTCGGTTGTCCCCAACCTGATAACAAGGTCGTAGCGGCAGAAGAGAGAGGCTCCGCTGGTTTTTGGACAAGCAAAACTCGCCCAAGTCGCCGAGCAGAGAATTTGGATTCTCTCGAGAAACTTTCGAGCCAACGAAAGCTATATGCGCGAGGTACGTGGTTAATATTGTTATTTGGTATCCAAAAAGGACGAGTCTTTCTTTCTAGGTTAGGCGAAAATTGACTCGGAGCTCTGTCTTTCCTTCCTCCGCAGCTGGAGAGGCGGCTTGTCAAAAGTTTCGGAATCCTTGTGGTTAATCTTTGGATCTTTTCACAGGTCGTGAGGATCAAACTGCGGACATGATAAAAATCAGAGAAGACAGGATGCTGCCCTACCACCAGGTTCAAACTCTGTAAGTGAACTTCGATTTGTTTTTTTTTTTCTTTGTTGCGGCTGCGGTAGATTTTTACCTCCATCTCGTTGTGTTCAAGACTGTCCTTCGCTTTCTCTGAATCATTGTTTACAAATGTCGACCCCTCGAATGAATACAAACTCTTGTTTTTCTGTACGACTTTCGTCTTTCCTCTCTCGACTTTTTAACTAATTCGATACATTTTTCACTACGTTCAGGGAGTTTCTAGGGCGCGAAGAGCACACCTATGAAATCCAGAGTACTAATCTTAATATAATTGGCTCGCCGGGAGGCCATCGCGATGGCAGCTCCAAGGTCAAGCTTAAGAGCATAGTGGACTTCACGTGGGAGCACAGGTACTACATGGGCCAGTTGATGGCAGTTCACATGTCCACCAAGTTTTTGGCTTATGCCTTGAATGGCAAAGCCGATCCAGGTATGGATCATGAAGACCTATGTGTGTCACGGTGTTAGTGTTAGCATTTTTAATTAAAGTGTTGTCGTTTTACTTAAATTACATGTATGATTGCAGCTGGAAGTCAAAAGGGCCTGGTTCGTGTATTAAGTAAGGATTTCGATGAAAGAATTCTCATCAAAGGAATTAAGGGCCTTATCCAAGACATTACCTTTGCACACATTGAAGAGCCTCTCTTGGCTTTTGTTGATGTCACGGGGAGTCTGCACGTTGTTCTCATTGAAATAAGCAATAATAAATTGAACTACAGTTACGTTTTACAAGTGAACGCAGACGATTCTCCTCGCATGAGCCACAGAGTAATATGGTGTCCTTATATTCCTGATGATGAGGCAAATGATGGCGACGAAGTTTCGAAACTCCTTATTCTCACTCGTGGCTCAAAAATCGAGCTGTGGTCGGTGGCTGTTGCCTCTCAATTATTCCCTTCAGCAATTCAGGTAATAAGCTTTGTTGTACATTTTAAAATTTTGTACAAACAATTTGATCAATTAAAAACATAAATTGCAGGCTGATAATCAGGAGGCAGTGAAAAATAAAGTCATGACTGAAATTTATCAACACACTGGAAATATTATAGAAGCCACTTTAAGTCCTGATGGTACGGCTCTTGCCACAGCTAGTGCAGATGGTGAAATCAAGTTTTTCCAGGTGTTTTTGGTTGGTACAACAAGTGGTCAAGAGTGCAAGTGCCTACACCAATGGCAACCGCACGGCGGAGAACCAATTTCATGCATGTTTTTCCTTGATGACCACAAAAATTTCAATACAGAGTACGTATGCGTGTGTATTTTAATTTAATGGATTCTTTACTGTAGACTCTAATACTTTCCAAATCTTTGATGCTTTAGCACGCAATTTTGGAGGTTTGCCGTAACAGGCTGCAACAACAACACAGTGATTAAGCTTTGGTCCTGCGAATCGTGGACCTGCTTGCAAACAATCAATTTCGCACCACACCCTCTGACGGGTAAAATGCCGGTGCTCAAAGCCGGTCTAGATCTCGCCGCGAGTTACCTTTTTCTTTCTGACATTTACAATAAGGTTCTGTATATATTCAGTATCTTGAAGGACAGTGAAGACGCAGTTGCTTGTCTAAACACAGTGTCCGAGTTCTTGTTGCCGAGTTCGTTTATGAGTTTCTCGATCGTTGAAGCGGGCCAGAGACGTCTGAGGTTCACCAGCGATTCCATGGAGAACCTGTGTCCGACCGATGACGAAAACGAAGAACAACTCGTGGTAAGATTGTTCCTTGTTCAGCCAAAGTCTATGCAAGAGTGCCACATTGCGTTTAGGCCACCTGTACTATTGAGCAACAGCTGCCTTATGGACACACTTGCTAACGACTCTTTGGATTACAATGAGGACTTACCTGTTATCAATACAACTAATCACAATGGCATTGAAGATGTTAATGATGATGACGAAGGTAATATTATTTATTGATTTTCGTGTAATTAAAAGTTTCGTGAAAACTAAATTGTTCATCGTTTTAGGTGTAAACGGACAGCTGATTGAAATAATTCAGGATAACATAACAGAAGCAGCTGACATGAACCACAGTGCTGGGTTAAATCTGATGACACCTGATGCCTTTAGCTCCCCAGCAAAAAAGGAAACTGCCCTGGACTCGAAGTCTTCTAGTCCGCAACTTGGAAACATTGAATCTGCTAGTCCATCAATTGCACAAGCTGTGCAGGCGCTCAATACATCAGACAAGCCGCTTGCTACTGGTAAACTCGAGGAGCAGGCACCACCAAGTGGGGGAAGTAGTCCTTCGAGAGAGGTTCGACAAATTTTGTCAAGTGCAGAGCCTGAAGAGAGTGAGACAGAAATCAAGCCCGAGGTTGCGATTTCAACGAATGAGAATTGGTCACAAATTCCTCTAGGTAATTAAAAATGTTATTAATTTTAACGTTAACTGATCCGACAGTATACTAAAGCTACATTTGAGGTGAGAAATCAATATTACAATGACATTTGCGTTTAAGATGCTTTTCATGCAATGCAAGAACAAGGAAAGGAGGACGTTACTGATGGTCAATTGAATATAAAAAAAGAATTAACTCCGGTCCTGATAGTCGAAGAGCCACAGAACAAATGGAATATTTCTAATGACATCGTCGCAATGACGAGTAAACTTGACGCCATCATTGAAATCATCCAAGATCAGCAGCAGGAAATCAGTGAACTGAGAGTAGAGGTAAAAAAAATTGAGATTTACTCAAGATCATCAAAGTACATTACCTGAAATTTCATTTGCTGTTATTATCCAAAGGTGACGCGACTTCGTCAAGAAACTCCACTGACAAACCGCTTGGAAACTGCTTTTGCCAAATCTGCTCAACAACAAAATACAAGCATTGAACAAAATCTCTTGGCTCAAGCAGCATGTCAGCATGAATTTCTCAAAAGCCTGGAAGACACTGTCAAAGAAAAGATAGAGAAAACGATTCCACGATGTGTACAAGAAGTCGTAGAGCCACTCAAGAAACAGCTCCGGATTGACGCCTCAAAAATCGATAGTATGGTCCAAGATAACATGACAAAATTACTTGGTGGTACCCATGTTCGCGACGCTATCACCGCTGCTGTAACTAGTGCGGCAAAGCCTACGCTCGAATATGCTTTCAAACAAGCATTCACTAGTATTCTACTACCTGGTATGGAGAAGGCTTGCCAAAATATGTTCAAGCAAGTTCAGGATGCGTTTATTGCTGGAACGAGGGAGTGTAAGTGATATTGTGGAGTGAAAGTAGATGTGTAGCTTGGAGTAAGTGCTTAGTCGAATTTTCAAATTACAGATCTGCACAATGTCGACGGTATCATGGATAAACAGTATCAGAAGCAGAACAAGCATCAGAGCGAGGCTTTAACCTCCGCTGTTCGAGAACAGGTGCAGACGGAATTTTCGAGGGGTCTGACGATGATTCAAGAGAACACTATCAGAAGTATGCGTGACTCGTTAAAGGAAAACTTTACCCAGCACATGTCGGACATATCTGGCATTCGGTAAGTATTTGAAATTCATCAGTGATTCTAATTTCTTCATTAAGTGACATTTTGTAATTTGTTACGAATCGTAGCTCAAGAGCGACAACTCCAGGTTTGACGGGTCCAACAGTAGCGGACGCTCAGACTAGAGTTTTATCACTACTCCATCGAGGTCAGTTGAACACGGCGTTCCAACAGGCGCTTAGTGCTAGCGATTTGAATGTGGTCGTGTTGGCCTGCGAAAGCATAGATCCTGCATGCGTTTTCAACTCTGGCGGTCCAGGTCAGAACCCAAGGTGCGTGCTCCAGCAGCCTGTTTTGTTATCTCTGATCCAGCAACTCTCTGCGAATTTGGGTCACAGAACTGAATTGAAGCACAGGTAGGCAAATTTTTTTTTTCACGTTAATCATAACAAAGTAAATTTAAAATACCTAATACAAGAAATTATTTTTCGTATGTAATCAGATGGTTAGAGGAGGCGCTACTCAGTTTAGACCCAAATGATCCTGTTACTCGTGAACACATGGTCGCTGTATTGTTGGGGTTGCAGACTCAGGTTGCTGCTTTTATCAGTGCAAATCCGGCTCACCGATTAATTAGGCGATTAAAAATGGTCACAATGGTGGCCCAAACTTTAATGAAATCCGGCTAAACTTTTTCAATTGTTATTAACATCAATTAACACGAGATTTTTCATTTTGCGGTGATCTTTTAAACTGGAAGAAAAGAGTGCGTGTTTTTATCTCAAAAAAGACTGGAGATGACTTTATTTAAGAATACGTTATTGATGTGTAATTTTTATTCAATTAATGTTTTTATTGTACTAAAAATAACTAATTAAAGCGTCACTTGAGCAAGTAACTTGAAAATTATATAAAGTTATTTTCTTGAATGATGACATAGTTAAAGCTTATTTTCTTATTTCGTTTTTTATGTTTAGTTCGACATTGTCATAGAGTATTCTTCTTTTATTCGATTTTTTATGATTTTACACAAATATCCGTATAGAAGGACAGAGCTAGTATTTTTATTGTATAGTCAGAGCTTTTGTACTGTTTAGTTTGTTTTTTTCCTGTTTACTGAACGAAATTTCCTTAACGAACGTGATAATAAAAAGTTAGAATATTTTAGACTAATAATGTGACAAAGTCAAAGTTAAGCAAAAATAACTTTATTCTTATGAATTGAATAAAATGTATTATAATAAAAAATGTAAAATTTTTTCTATACACGAATGTTTCGTTATTTTATATTTACAATATCATGCTAAACCTTATTTAGATGTGTATATACGTTTACACACTCGCTTTCAAAGCTTCTTTAATATGAGATGCTATTTTTATCCTTTTTTTCTTATGCACTTTACCTATTTTCGCTTTGTTTTCACTTGCATTATTAATGTGAACGTTCTCTTTTTTCTTTTTCTTGCAACTTAAAGGATTTGGACCACCCTTTTTCTTCTTTTTCTTGATATCAACAGTGTCTTTTTCTAAACCGCACTTGACTTTCATTTCCTTTATTATTTTTTCTTGCTCTTCGGTCATTCCTGCAGTTTCTTGAATCAATTTTTCGGCAAACGACTGACTCGTTTTAGATGGAGGTTTCATGGTTGGTACCTGACCATGTAAATACAAAAGCGGAACCCCAGACAAGTCAACTAATTTCGCTTGAAGATCTTTGTCCTGTGTAGCCACCATGTATCTGTAAGATTGGTTTTGTGAAGAATTTTGCGTTTTCAAAGTGATGAACACGGCAGTAAAACAATAAATGGTATATTTAAAAAAATATATTAACCTGGACTTATTGTTGGATCCCACCATGGAAAGTAAACATTCTGAACCTGTCACAGGATTTTTGGCGTGACCACACTTGTGTACCCCGAATTGTTTCAAAATGAAAAATGCACTTTTGAGAGCAGGTCCCAGTTTTTCCATTTCCGTAATAACACACGGCGTCGTCAAAAGTTTGAGCTTCGTGTGCAAGTACTGAGTTAATTGCTCGGCAATTTGAACTTTATGCTGTAATCGTTAAACAAGTAATTTTAATACTTACAAATCAAGTAGGACATGAATATAAACAGTGTGGTGAGAGGTTTAAATAGGTTAGAAATACTAACGTCACGTGCTGACTTGGCAAACGTCCCGTCTATCAAAACTTGGTAGGGTTCGTGAAAACCATAATTATTTACGTAAAAATGAAGAATCTTTTGAGCTTTCTTATATCTTTTGACCTTCATTTTAAATTATTTATACTGAATACCCTGTATAATTTACGATGTCACACAAGTCACGAGAGAAATACAGTGTTGTACCTAGTGTAGCAGACGAGGCATCTTTATGCTTCTGCTAGGTGGTTACCATCAGGTCGGTAAGTCAACTATATATATAAATACAAGGTATATATACCTTGAATTAACTGGCGCTCTGTTCCGTAATCTGATGGCCAGTTAAAATAGCAGACGACAGTCAACCATATAGTCGATTTTTTTAAACCATCATGTGAATATCTATATTTTTGGATGTCGACTTTTGGATAAAAAACAGATTGTAAACTTACCGCAAACAGCACAAACCACATCAACTTTTTATTGTCCATCTATAAAATTAGTTGCGGCTGGTTTATAATTGATTAAATGGCTCTAATTTAAAAAGTAATAATTATTTGGATCAGCGCCATCTAGCGTTGCGAATTCCTGAACTAAAAAGTGGCCCTAAACTTTTGAACCAGAGCTTTAGCGCGTAGAGCCATTTAATCAGTTATAAACCAGCCGCAACTTATGATAAAGCTTAATAATAAAAAAACAACGATATATGTGTTTTTTGCGGCAAGTTAACAATCTATTTTTTACCAAAAAATTGACCTCCTTTGTGTTTATACTTTTGAAGATAAACTTTCGAGCATAAGATAGATTATTATCTTGCCGCCAAAAACACACGTATCGTTATTTTTTTATTTTATAGCCTCATCATAAGTTGCGGCTGGTTTATAATTGATTAAATGGCTCTAATTCTGAATGCTCTGATTTAGAATTTTCGGAGCCACTTTTGGCCAAAAAATAAAGACCGCTAGATGGCGCTAATCCTAGTAATTATTGCTATTTACAGTAAAGTCACTTTATTAGTTATAAACCAGCCGCAACAAATTTCGAAAATAGATAATAAAAAGTCAACATTTTTGTGCTACTTGCGGCAAGTTTACAACTTATCTTTTACCTTAAAATCGACCTCCAAAACCATCAATATTCTACTTCTCTTATATGGCTCATAAAATCGACAATATTTACAAAATTACAATACTCTAGACCTTTAACTATTAACTCATGATGTAAGCACAAATTAATAAGTCCCAAAGAGACAACCGAAGAAAAAAGGCATCTGAAAAAGAAGCACAGTCAGTCAGTCACACGAAAAGTCTCATAAGAAAAGATAAATTGTTAACTTGCTGCAAATAGCACAGACCATGTTAACTTTCCAATAAGTCATGGAAGAACAGCCCTTCAACTTTAAATTTCCAATAAACAGTTAACTTATATAATATGTATACATAGCAAAATTTGTGTTACAAAAATCTTAAATCACGATCCAATATATACGTGAATTATTCAGTCTAAAAGAAAGGACTAAAAAAAAAAGGCCTAAAAGAGAAGCACAGTCACACGAAGAGTCTCCTAGGAATGGAGCATCGGATCTCACTAATTGATAAATACATTTATTACGGAGATGTAAATTTTAAGTGTTATAAGTAAACAAAGAACCCAACCTTCTCTGATCAAGTGAGATCCAATGCTCCATTCTTATGAGACTTTTCGTGTGACTGACTGACTGTGCTTCTTTTTCAGATGCCTTTTTTCTTCGGTTGTCTCTTTGGGACTTATTAATTTGTGCTTACATCATGAGTTAATAGTTAAAGGTCTAGAGTATTGTAATTTTGTAAATATTGTCGATTTTATGAGCCATATAAGAGAAGTAGAATATTGATGGTTTTGGAGGTCGATTTTAAGGTAAAAGATAAGTTGTAAACTTGCCGCAAGTAGCACAAAAATGTTGACTTTTTATTATCTATTTTCGAAATTTGTTGCGGCTGGTTTATAACTAATAAAGTGACTTTACTGTAAATAGCAATAATTACTAGGATTAGCGCCATCTAGCGGTCTTTATTTTTTGGCCAAAAGTGGCTCCGAAAATTCTAAATCAGAGCATTCAGAATTAGAGCCATTTAATCAATTATAAACCAGCCGCAACTTATGATGAGGCTATAAAATAAAAAAATAACGATACGTGTGTTTTTGGCGGCAAGATAATAATCTATCTTATGCTCGAAAGTTTATCTTCAAAAGTATAAACACAAAGGAGGTCAATTTTTTGGTAAAAAATAGATTGTTAACTTGCCGCAAAAAACACATATATCGTTGTTTTTTTATTATTAAGCTTTATCATAAGTTGCGGCTGGTTTATAACTGATTAAATGGCTCTACGCGCTAAAGCTCTGGTTCAAAAGTTTAGGGCCACTTTTTAGTTCAGGAATTCGCAACGCTAGATGGCGCTGATCCAAATAATTATTACTTTTTAAATTAGAGCCATTTAATCAATTATAAACCAGCCGCAACTAATTTTATAGATGGACAATAAAAAGTTGATGTGGTTTGTGCTGTTTGCGGTAAGTTTACAATCTGTTTTTTACCCAAAAGTCGACATCCAAAAATATAGATGTTCACATGGTTTAATAAAATCGACCATATGACATTACTTAGTAGTAATTACTATAATTACTACGCATAAGTCGCATAACTTCACGTACATCTTACACCGTGCTCTTTTTACCAGAATGATAAAATCAGAGGCTGTAAAGTTACGTAGGTCGTGGTGGTTATGCCGCTCAATCGTCACCAGCAAGTAATTTAAATTGGCGCTCTACGTTACCGTCAGGTCGGTAAGTCAACTACCTTGAATTAAACTGGCGCTCTATTCCGTAATCTTAAAACAGCAGACGACGTGAAAGTCGAGAAAAAAGTGAAGATTTTATCGCTGTCGACTGTCGTCTGCTGTTTTAACTGGCCAGATTACGGAACAGTGCGCCAGTTAATTCAAGGTAGTTGACTTACCGACCTGATGGTAACGTAGAGTGCAACCTTAAATTACTTGCTGGTTACGATTGTGGAAAACACTCCGTGATATTTTTCTTTAAATCAAGTCTGCACTACCAGAATCCATCATGTCCCTAGATACCAGTGAAATAACAAAATGTCACTAGGAAACAAGAACAACAGCGCTTCAGCGGGAGAAATGAAGTTTACCAATACGAAAGATAAGGAACTAAAATGTTTACATTTACCGTTGATTGCCGTTGAACAAAGTAAACTACTACTATTAGTAAAATAAATATTCAGTGACAAAAAAAGTGAGTATGACGGTAATTGTTCAGTTTAACTAAAACATTTTCAAACCTATAGTTTCAACATAGAATTATCAATTTTTATCGATTTTCACCCACGTACATTTTACTCTTACAATTCTAAGAATTATGCTTTTGTCGTTTATGCCTCAAAATGTGTTCACATCTTAAAAATGCATGTAAACAGCATATAACGTTATTTAAACTGCACAATTACCATCACTTATAAAAGGTCCCGGCCAGTTCTCGTTGAAATAATTTCCTTTGCCAGTTTTGACTGCTTGTTTGATATACGTTAAATTCATCCTTTACGGTCGGCGCATCAGAAGATCAATAAATTTAGCATTGACAACATGGAGGGCGAGATAAAGTTAAATTATAAGGAGAAGTTACAGGGGATTGAAAAAGTAAGCATAATTAAATTCACAAACATGATTTTATATTTTTTTTCTATGTTATTATGTATGTACAGTCGTTTGTTTGAATTTTTTGTTTACCTTAAACATATACATAGGACTTAGGTTAATCATCGCGATACATTATTTACATCTCACATTAAAATAAACGCGTTTTCAATGTTGGCACCCTATAACAGGTTCTTAACGCACGAAAAAGACTTGAATCTATAGGACCCTTTTATGCGTGCTCTTTGAAACTTGTTACATTTTTCAATCGTTATACATTTACGCCTCGCACAATCAATCACCGATGCGAACTATTATGCTAAAACTCTATAATTTATGTTTTCTCGATTAAATTCCACGTTTCTGTACCAAATGACAAAATTTTTATTCTTTTTTTTTTTTTTTTTTCTTAATGCGTGGTACAGAAAAATTGCACGACAATTACAGAAGTAAAAGTAAGAGTTTGATGCCTATTTGGAGCAGTTGAGATTATACGCCTGTGGCATGTCGAAATCCTATTGGTTTTCAATCCATGTGCCGTAATATCCTCTCTGTACACACACACTGCGGATGGATGCACATCAACGACGTCATTATCATTGACCTGGATGTATTGTTACAATTGTTACACAAAACGTTACTCGAGATACACACGTATACATAGACAGAATAGGAAGCAATAGAATAATATAGGTTGTAGGGGCTCCTACGATTCAAACTGACTAAGTGAAACTGACAACTGCAGCGTGCAACCAAACGATTATCATGCTGTTTTTGTTTTTTTTTATTTTCATTTTAAGGCAACGAGTACTTGTGTTTTTGAATCAGAAAAATGTACAATTATAGATGATATTATTCATAGTCTAAAGTTTTGACGCTTGTATATGGTTTTTGAAATAACTCATTACTTTTGATAAACTTTGTTATTGTTTTGATTATTGTTATTACTATTATAACTATCATCATTACATTGAAAAGTCATAGATTTTTTTTGTGTTTGTATAAGTTGTCCTTAATTGCATGGCCAAAGAAAACTTCTCGCAAATTTAATCCTTTGAAAATCATTACTCGAAACGATCTATTTGCAAGAAGATTTTTACGGCAGTACAAGTAGATGATGTTGTTCTTTTTTTGTTCTTTACAAACGATCAACCAATTAAACATGTAGACCAAAAAACATTAAGTTAATAATTTTATTAAAAAATTCGCCCTTACACGTATTTTAAGTACGTGAAAACATCAAACAGATTATCGTCGCACGAAGCGAGAGCTACAAGTTTTGACGAGAAATACCAAGGTATGATGTGTATACATATATGTTATCACGCGGGGATATGATCATCATCGAGCGACCGAACTCGATCGCTCGGACTATATAAATCACGCAATTTATCCAGCAAACTTTTCCGAGTTACTCGTGTACACGACCTATACGTTTCGTAAATTTACAAAATTTATTTGTGTTTATCTAATTGTGGATGTACATTGTTAAAAAAAAGATTAAAGACCGCGTACAGTCTTCTAAATGCCTTACAATTTTTTTCCTTTTTTCGTTATTTCTTTTTTTTTTTTTTTTT